CAAGGAAACTTAAATAATTGTTTTCTTGTCATTTTTAAATAAGATTAAGATTTGCTGATTACATGCGACACGTGAATTTCAAATTGCGCGGAATGAAACATATTACGCATTTTGTTTTGTTCTTTATCATCACAGTTAAGGTTTAATTTACATTTTTTCCTCATCTGTTTTTCAGACACACCCCTGTTTTATTTTATTATTTAACGTTGCGGATTCTAGTATTGTAAGTTCAATCATATTCATAGAAAAGCGTCAAATGAGTCGTGTTATCCATGTATAGTGTCGTTTTATCCAAATATGGTATTGTGTTATCCAAGTTGAGTATCGTGTTTAGGGTATTGTGGTATTCAAGAATAGTATTGTGTTATTCAAGAATAGTATTGTGTTATTCAAGTATAATATTGTGTTACCCAAGTATAGTACCGTGTTATCCAACTAGAGTATTGTATTATCCAAATAGAGCTCGTGTTATCCAGGTAGAGTATTGTATTATCCAAATAAACGTCGTGTTATCCAAGTAGAGTATTGTATTATCTAAATAGAGCTCGTGTTATCCAGGTAGAGTATTGTATTATCCAAATAGAGCTCGTGCTATCCAGGTAGAGTATTGTATTATCCAAATAGAGCTCGTGTTATCCAGGTAGAGTATTGTATTATCCAAATAGAGCCGTGATATCCAGGTAGAGTATTGTATTATCCAAATAAACGCCGTGTTATCCAAGTAGAGTATTGTATTATCCAAATAGAGCTCGTGTTATCCAGGTAGAGTATTGTATTATCCAAATAGAGCTCGTGTTATCCAGGTAGAGTATTGTATTATCCAAATAGAGCTCGTGCTATCCAGGTAGAGTATTGTGTTATCCAAGTAGAATATTGTTGTATCCAAGTTGGGTATTGTATTATCCAAATAGATCTCGTGTTATCCAGGTAGAGTATTGTGTTATCCAAGTAAATATTGTTGTATCCAAGTTGGGTATTGTATTATCCAGATAGAGTTCGTATTATCCATATATAACAGTGTTTTCCAGACTTTAAATAACGGCGCCCCCTAACTCAGCAACGTTTCCGTTGCGTCTTCACATTAAAATAATTTTCGCATTTGATAGCAGCAAAATCAGCATTTTCTTTAGTTGTTTCTAACAAATTTTTAAATGAAAAAAAAATGCTTCTATAGAGTGAGTAAATGCGGGTTCGCATCCCCATCACACCAAACATGCTCGCCCTTTCAACCGTGGGGGCGTTATAATGTGACGGTCAATCCCACTATTCGTTGGTAAAAGAGTAGCCCAAGAGTTGGCGGTGGGTGGTGCCGACTTGCTGCCTTCCCTCTAGTTTTACACTGCTAAATTAGGGACGGCTAGCGCAGATACTCCTCGAGTAGCTTTGCGCGAAATTCAAACAAACAAACTGTTTACGCTGTAATATTAATTTATAAACAGTTGGTTCGTAACGCTAAATGGTATTAAGGCTACCACTGTACGAGTATTTGTATTGTTTGTAGTTTCGTTTTTATACATCTGGTTAAGAATATATTCTAAAAACTACTCCTGCAACTTGAATGAATATTGCATATATATATATAAATTGAAGGGTAATTTATATAGACAAGAAGTTAATAAAGCATATTTTTAACATAGGAAATAGTTAGGATCTCTCAATGATATTTTAAAACCCTTCCCTCCCAACAATAAAAGTTTCCTCGTCGAAAAACTAACAAAGGTAATTTATCACTTGTACCCAAGAACAATTGTTCTCCATAGATTTATATATTAGGTTGTCAAGAAATTAATGTCGCGTTTTGGAACATATACTAGTTAAACGAACCGCCTAAACGTCACGTTAGTGTAGTATATATAATGTGTAAAGTTAAGTATACTCTAATCCCATATAGTGATGGCACAGGACGAGACACACATTCGGGATGTAATGCTGTTTGAATACAAGAAGGGAAACAACGCCTCTGTAGCCACAAAGAATATCAAAGAAGTTTATGGAAATGTTTTGGACATTCGTAGGTGTAAACGATGGTTCAGCAAATTTCGTTCAGGTGACTTTAGCCTTAAAAATTGTGATGGCAGTGGCCGACATGTTGGAATTGATATTGATGCTCCGAAGACGCTTGTTGACTAACCCAAGGCCCTGAAATTACATGTCTCTCATAAAACATCTAAGGAATATGGAAAAACTCCATA